CAGTGCTATTGTCCCCGGGCCTGGCCCTGAGCGGGGTTGCGGCCGCCCGCTCCGCGGAAGATGCCGGACCAAGCCCTTCAACAGATGCTGGACAGGTACGAGCAGCGGCAGGCCGGGAACGGCCGGCCTCCGTCCTGGGCCTGCCCATGCTGGCCTCGAGGCCCCGAGAGCACGGGTCCTGGCGTCCGCCGAGAGTTCCACCGCCCGGGAGCTGGGAGAGGGGCTCCGAGTTTGAAGTTGGCAGTGAAGGGAAGATTGGGCGAGCGGCCTGGGTCGTAGACTTAGAAACTTAGTTAAAGGAGTGAGGTCTGCTTCGGCCGAAAGCCTGTTTTGGAGGCAAAGAGGCGCTATTGTTAACCCGTAGAATTAGTTTCTTTTCCCCACCTCCTCCCCTGACTCTATTGTCAGGGCTTTGGCAGCGATGTCACTGGGAAAAACCAGATTATCTTCCTGGAGAATAATCCCTTGCACTCTGAAGCCTCTCTTCACAATGCAAAGATAGGCTTTTTTTATTTTTTTAAATCCTGGGTTTCGTTTCTCCTTCCAACCCCCATCCCATCCCCACCCCCAAGCTGTAAGGTCAGAATATCCACAAGGGAGCCTTAACGGTCACACTGGAGTAGAGGTTATGGAAAACAGCCACATGCATACAACATTGAACACGTAGCGCGCCTGACGATCGTTGACTTCCCAGAAACGTGTGGGCTCTACTGGGACAGGTTGCCCCTTCTTGGGGGTCTCCAGCCGGTACAACTCTTTGAGAACTCGACTGCACCGCCCTCTGCTGTTTAAATCCCAGCCAGTGAGTTCTTGGTGACTAAACCCACGCTTCCCACCTAGGCAGCTTCTTGCTGTTCTGACCAACTTTTCAAACTTCTTCCTAATGTTCGTGGTTGCTTGCCACTGCAGATAGCCTAACTGGCCACTCTGGTCAGCAGGTGGTACTCTTTGAGTCAAAGGACTCTTGATTAAGATTATAGATTGACTGTTTGGGTAGGGCCAGAGAAGGCAAGAAGTTACTCCTCATTTTTTTATCCTAAATCCTAGGACAGGACTTGATACTTAGGAGATGTTCTGTTGTTAAAACTAATGAACTTGTTAGTTTCTCCAGTTGGTTTTTTGGTTTGTTTGTTTGTTTGTTTTGTTTTGTTGGTTTCTCTAGCTTTGGGGCCTGTCCTGGAACTCGCTCTGCAGACCAGGCTGGCCTCAAATTCCCCTAGAGATGCGCTCACCTCTGCCTCCCGAGTGCTAGTATTAAAGGCATGTGCCACCGCTCCTAGCTGGTTTCTCCCGTTGTTTTGGAGTCTGGTTGCTTATCGGGTTTTAGAGTTTATCATTCTTGACTAGGTGTGGCATGCTAAAATATGCCCAGAGAGATTGCTGCCTGTGCCAGTCGGATCCTCCAGAAGGTATGTCATAGCTGTTTGTTCTGATGACATGCCACTTTCACTTTTATGTGGTGACTTTAGAAAAAGTCTTTACAGCTAGATGTTGTCCTGGTTCTTCATACATTCTTTAGATTCACATAAAAGTCAGGAGTGCTCGTGAAGAATTTACAGAAACTTGGGAATTCTGTCTGCTCTTTGCAGAAATGTAAGCATAAAACATATTTTGCTCATTTTCCACTCCATTACCTTAGCTCATCCCCCTCCACTACTGAATATTTTCCTGACAAGCCCCCTCCTATTTCATGTCTTTGTGTGTTCCACTGAATTCAATTAGGATTGATTGGATAAGCATGGGTCCGGGTTATTTACAGGAGTGTGGGCAAGTTATCAGTGGCTACCCCACTAAATTTACTCCCTCCTCCTGCAGCTGCCGTTCCTGGGTAGGGCATGGGGCTTCATAAATCCCTCCTTCCCTCCAGTGATGCAGTGTTGCTAGGCCCCATCTTCCGCAGGTCTTATACAGGTAGTAAGCATAGCTACCTGTACTCGTGGGTACAAAGCCAGAAGACGGGATTTCACAGCACCCCTGCTCCTCTCGTAGTTCTTATGTCCTTTCTGCCCACTTCTGAATATTTTTTTAGAAAGCTTGAAATTTTTCATTGTAAAATACTAGGGAAAAGGAACCTATGCTTATATATAATTTACAAGGAAGATGACTCTACAGCTATCTCTGCTTCCACCGTTTATACAGTGTTTATACAGTGCTGGGAATTGAAGCCAAGGCTTCATGCTAGATAAACACAGTAATGCTGAACCACATTCCCATCCCTTACTTAATACTGACAATTATGCTGATATATGTAGCCATACTAGCTACTTATGTGTTCTCTCCTCAATAACTTAAGAGAACATAGAAGTTCTAGATACTATGCCCACATTGTGTTGCCAAAATATATATCCAGCTCTAAAGGAGACAAATATACTTAGAAAATTACTTGTTGTGTTAAATATGTATTTATACTAACAGCATCTCAGTTGCTCTATTTGCTCATACACTTAGCAATTGTAGTGTTACGCAGAGATGTTAGTCATCCTGTGAATAGCCATAATAATGGGAATATAGTTTAATTGAATTATACCCGTAAAATGGTTAAAGTGATGCGTTTTATGATCTGGATATTTTGCCATTTAATGAAGCAAGATTGAAGATTTTATTAAAGATATTTTAATATTGGCTTCAGTGTGATGGTTAAGAACAAAGAAGTGAGCTGGGCAGTTGGTGGCACACACCTTTAATCCCTAGCACTCTGGAGGCGGAAGCAGGCAAGCCAGCGTGGTCTACAAGAGCAATTTCCAGGACATCCAGGGCTACACAGAGAAACCCTGTCTCAAAAAACAAAACAAAAAAGTAAAAAGGTGTTCAAGGAAAGAAAAGTATATTTGAGAGTATGATATGGGTTTCTCAGAGTCCCAGAGACTAAGTCATATCCAAGTATGAGTAAGAGGTACTACAAGGGAGAAATGCCCATAGTTTAAAAAAAGAAAAAAAGAAAAGAAATTTACTTGGCATATATGGAGGTCAGAGGTCTTCTTCCACAACATGTACCCCAGATACCAAGGTCAGGTGATCAGGCTTTGCATCAGGTTCTCTCACCCACTGAAACATCTTGCCATTTTTTCCCCCATTTTAACTGAAAGTTTTTACGTGAAGTGCATATTGAAGTCCACATTGTTCTGTACAGGCTGGGAACACATCTGTTCGTAGTCCCTGACTACCCTGTCTCTCCTGCATATTCAGCCAGTTGTCCAGGTGAAAAGCACAGTAAGAAACAAGCTTTAATTCGAAGTTGTCCTAACCACTTGCACAAACTTTGGTGGAGGATAGGGGGGTTCTTTATTAGTTAAATCAGTATCAGATTTGTAGAGAGCTGGGGATATAGCTCAGTTGTTAGAGGGTTCGCCAAATAAACACAAAGCCGTGTTCATCCCCAACCTAAGTGTGGTAGAGACAGGCAGATCAAAAGTTCAAAGCTAGCTTCAACTGCATAGAGTGTTTAAGCCACCTAGACTACACAAGATTCTGTCACAAAAAGAAGGTTTTTAGTTTAGAGGTGGTAGGTGGTTTTAGAGACTGGGTCCTGCTATACTGCCTAGGGTAGCCTCCAACTTTGTGGGTTTGTCTGACTTCCCAAGTTGCTGAACTGCACACATTTGTCACTGTGTCCAATCAGAAAAGTGTGTTTAAATTAGCTACTCAATGGAATTATTATTTAATTAGAATAATTAGAATAGCCATTCTGATACTGTGAAACTTTATGTTGGATTTTACACTCATTGTTGAATATTTCATATATATACTTATCTATCACTGAAACACTAGGGTAGGGGTGGGGGATCCTCAACAAAATTAGAAAAACAGTGCTCGTTACCTGCATTCAGTTCTTCCTCATCCCCTAATATTTACCCTTCCTTGTTTTCCTTTTTAATTGTTACACTACACCCACATTTCTTTACATATATACGAATATATGGCTTTGGATAAAGAAAGCAGGTCTTGTATGGCTGGTGCTTCAGTGTGTGGGATTTCTCTTATTTTATACAGTAAACATCCCTTCTCCAAGGTTTTGCTTTCCTTTGCTTGAATTACTTAAAGTCAACAGCATATATCATAGTCTAGGGTATGACTGTGAGAGTCCTTTAAAAGTTCATTAATATGTAGATTTGGGCCTGCTTAATTTTGTTGCATGAATTTTGCTGTGGGTTCTTTATAATATAGTTATAAAAATAGAAATATTTTAATTTAAACATAATAGACTTGAAATTTCTATATTTGAAATATAACAAATATTTAATCTAGAAAAGAGGAGTAATTCTACCTGTGATACTGGAAAATGTAGATCTATATTTATCATATTGCCATTCTAAATCATTTGTCCCTCCCTGTCCTTTGTGCTTTTTCATCCTTTCTCCCCAATGGTGGGGATTGAACCCAAGGCCCTGTGAATTTGCCATGCTAATAACTTATAATCCTCCCTGTTGATTTTGCTCTTTGTTTTTGGGGGGCCGCCACACCACCCAGCTCCCAAGCAAATGCATGGAGTCTTGCCCTTACGAACGCCAGGCCTTAGCTTTCCTTGTTTCTAGCCAGATTTTCCAACTTAAATTATCCCGTCTATCTTTGCCTCTGGGCTTTTTCCTTCCTCATATTATCATTTTCTTTACTTCTTACTCCATGGCTTGCTGTGTAGCTGGGTGACTGTCTCCTGGTGTCCTCTCTCCTTTTTTCTTTCCTTCCCCTTCTCTTTTTCTCCTTCTGTTTGTTCTCTCTGCCTGGCAGCCTGGCTTATCCCTTCCCTGCCTAGCAAAGAGATCAGGTGTTTTAGAGAGGCAAAGTAACAGCTTCACAGAGTTAAACAAATGCAACATAAAAGAACGTAACACATCTTTACACCATTAACCAAATATGCCACAGCATGAATAAATCTAACACATCTCAACACCTTATACCTTTTTTTTTGTTTGTTTGGGTTTTTTTGTTTTGTTTTGTTTTTGTTTTTCGAGACAGGGTTTCTCTATAGCTTTGGAGGCTGTCCTGGAACTAGCTCTGTAGACCAGGCTGACCTCGAACTCACAGAGATCCGCTTGCCTCTGCCTCCCGAATGCTGGGATTAAAGGCGTGCGCCACCACCGCCTGGCTTCACCTTGTACTTTTTTTGTTTGTTTTGTTTTGTTTTATTTTTAAAAAAAGAAAACAAACTATCTTTTTCAATATACATATCAATCCAAGTTCCCACTCCCTCACCTCCTCCCCATTCCCTCCAGCTACCCTCCCACCACAGTCTCACCCCAGCACCATCCAATCTAATCCTCAGAGGCACATTGCTTTGGGGAAGGTCCAAGGCCCTCCCTGCTTTATCTAGATTGAGCAAGGTATCTATCCAAAGAGAATAGGTTTCCCAAAAGCCATTACAAGCAGTAAGGATAAATCCTGGTGGCCCCTCAGTCTGTCTCAGCCATACAACTGCCAACCATATTCAGAGGGACTAGTGTGCTCCTATGCTTGTTCCTTCCCAGTGCTGCTGGCATTGGTGAGCTCCCATTAGCTCAGGTAGACTATTTCAGTGGGTGTACCCATCATGGTCTTGACCTCTTTGCTCATATTCTCATTCCTCCCACTCTTCAACTGGACTTTGGGAGCTCAGTCCAGTGCTCCAATGTGGGTTTCTGCCTCTGTTTCCATCAGTTGCTGGATGGAAGTTCTATGGTGATATTTAAGATATTCATCAGTCTGACTACAGGGCAAGGCCAGTTCAGATATCCTCTCTATTGCTTAGGGTCTTAGCTTCACCTTGTACTTCTTAAAGTTGTTACTATTGAGTGGGGCATGATGGTATGAGCCTGTAATCCTAGCACTTGGGATGTTTGAGGCAGGAGGATTAGGAATTCAAGGCCAGCCTAGGTGTGAGGCACTGTCTCAAACAAAACAAAACACACACACACAGAGAAAGAGAGACATGAGACAGAAAAGAAGTTGTAATATTCTCTTCTCTTCCTATAGCCATACTTTGCCATGAAGAGAAATAGATGAACATTTAAAAAAATTTTCCTCAGTTAAAAATTGAATGGTCTGGGAATATGACTCAGAACATTCTGCCTAATGTGTTTGTGTTCCTGGGTTGAGAGGTGAGGGAACTATATATAAAAATCACTAATGTATTTTTTTCTACATTCATGAGGTCTTATAAAACCAAAGATACTTGAAAACTGTTTCAATCCTCTGGTTCACTACTCAGAATTACTAGAAAGATGAATAAGAAAAAAAAATGGATAACAACAAAGTTCAGAAGATAGATTCTGTAGTGGAAGATTAAAAAGAGAGAAAAGAAATGCTCTATTTGGAATAAATTTGTTGTTTGGACTCTGTATTTTAATATAAGTTCTATAATTTTACATAATAATTCCATCCCTGTCATGTGCAGGAGTCTGGACCCCTGGAGGTAAACATTTTTTCTCTTAATTTTCAGAAGTTGCTGGGTATGTTTTGCCACCGATGAAGATGATAGAACAGCGGAATGGGTGAGACCATGCAGATGCAGAGGATCTACTAAGTGGGTTCACCAGGCTTGTCTGCAACGCTGGGTGGATGAAAAGCAAAGAGGAAACAGTACAGCCAGAGTGGCATGTCCTCAGTGCAATGCTGAATACCTAATAGTTTTTCCAAAGTTAGGTAAGGACTGTTTGACTATATTAAGAACAGCATACGTGTTTTCTGTTGTTATTATACAGATATATGATGTCAAGCTTTTTTTTTTTTTAAGGAAAAAGGTGGGGACTTGAGATATATGATATGAACTATGTTAGTTCCCCAGCCATGAACCCCAAAACCTTGGTCTGTGGTTGGTTGGTTTTTTATGTTTGAGTATTTTGCCTGCATGTATGTATGTATGTATATGTGCATGCCTGGTACCCAGAGGGCATTAGATCCCCTGAAGCTAAGTTTGATGGTTAGAAATCACCAAGTGAGTTCTGAGAACTGATTCCAGTGCTTCTGCAAGAGCTGTCAATGCTTTTTAATCTGCTGCCCTTCAGATTTATTTTTAAATGATTCATATCTTTGCTTTTTGGTGAATTTTTATATCTTCCCTCTCTGAATGTCAAAGATTTATTTCGCTAAGAGTTTACAGTATCTTTAATAAGTCCTCAGACTTGCCTATTTGTCTTTGTGTTTTTGTTTGAGAAGAAAAAGATTTCCAGCACTCAGGAGACAGAGGCAGGTGAATCTCTGTGAGTTCAAGGCCAGGCTGGTCTACAAAGCAAGTTTCAGGGCAGGGAAGGCTGTTACATAGAGAAACCCTGTCTTGAAGCATTACCCTACTCCTTCCTCTCCCCCTCTGAAAAAAGAAAAAAGAAAGAAAAAAACTTTCATGCCTAACTATGGATATAACTGAACAAGAGAGTCGTAATACAAAACTGACTTAGGGCTTAGTCAGTAAAGTGTTTGCCTGGCAAACATGGGAACCCAAATTCAGTTTTCAGAACATGGAGCCCTGTCTCAAATGAGGTGGATAGTGCTTCTGGGGATTACACTTGAGATCGCATACTCATTAAAAAGGGAGGGCAGAGCTAGACTTAAAGAGCATCATTCTTTGGGGACAGTTGATTTAAGAGAAAAACCAGTGGTGAGTGTCCTAATATTCCGTATTTGTTCTATTAAGAAGCAAAAAGAGGCAAATTAAAGTTTTGCTTTGGTTTTGGCAATGCTAGGTACTGAACTCTTGGTCTTTCCCATGCTAGGCAGTTGCTCTGCTGCTGAACCAATAAAGTTAAATTCATTTGAGAATCCAGTTTATACTTCATATTTAAGTATAAATATTTAAGTTTATACTTTATATTATATTTCAGGAAAACTAACCCTTTATCTGGGAATTACTGGACATGAAAATAGCCAGAAGTTTGAAAAGAAGTATAACCCTTATCTTTAAAGACATATGTTTCTGAGCTAGTGTCGTTCTTGTTTGGAAGTATGCCTTGCTGTTCTTAAGACATTTTTAATATTCCCTTACCTAAAACTGAGAGGTATGGAGGAGCCACAGCTTGGTTTATGAACTGGTCCAAACTAAAGAGAGATTCTAGAGGAGAGTAGGTGTCATGGTAAAAATTAGAGATTATTAGATGCTTTGTTCTTGGTAGGTGCTATGCATACTATAAAAAGTAGATAATAAAGTACTTTCCTAGTACAAAAAAATGAGGTGAATATAGAAAATGGCTGCTTGTTTTCTTATGTGAGAGAAAATGACAGCTTTGCATGAAAGACAAATAGTATAGTGAAGACAGTGAATTCAAGGCCAGCCTGGTCTACATAGTGAGTTCCAGGACAACCATGGCTATGTAGTAAGACTCTTCTTTTAAAAAAGGAATAAAAGAACTTAAAACAGGTGTGTAGAGAGATGGTACAATGATAGGTGTGCTGGCTTCTCTTGGCTGAGGAGAACCTGAGTCTGGGTCCCAGAATCCATACTGGACAACTCACAGCCACTTCCAACTTGAGCTCCAGAGGATTTAATACCCTCTTCTTACTTCCTCAGGTAGCCATACCCATTGTGTGCATGTGCACACACATACATATAAATAAAAACTAAGTCTTTAAAAATCGTTCAGCCTTAGGATGGAAATACAAAATTTATAGGTGTGTGGCACCACACCCAATTTTACCCAAATCTGCATCACAGCTAGAGCAAAGTTTACAGTGTCTTGAGACAAAGCTGATTACTTCTTTTGGAGTAGCCTAATATGTTTACCCAAAAGTTTCAGCTTACTTTTGACACTCAAATTTGAAATGCAAAAGCTTGAATTTACCCAAAATATTAGGAAAGCTTGTCTTTATAAAAATCTTTATTATATGAGAAAATTCACAATAAAACTTCCTTTTAATTACAGGCTTCTCTAATACCTTTTGAATTATTAGATCTCTAAAAGTTGTTGTTTATTCAAAGCTTCAGTTGCCACCCATTGTATAAATATAATATTGTTGAAAGTGTCTGTGGTGAGACCCACCAAGCCTTTGAAAATCCCGTCCTATGGACTGAGGAACTGCAGGTGTATTGAAGCCTAGTGACAGAACGCTTATTAGCATGCATGAAGTCTTAGGTCTAATCATCAATCAGTGTTGGAAAGCTAATAAAGCCTTTCTAAAATACTGAAACTTTTATGCCCTTAGTTAATTTGTGTTGAGCATTTATTCATGTTTTCGAGTGAGAATTTTCAAGGGCTAGGATTTTGTCTCCTCCCATACTCCTTAACTCTTTGCGTTATAATCTGATACTGTATTCCTAAAATTACGGTCCTCTGTCATGAGGCGATTGGCACACGCAGTTGGGGATTATCATCCAGATGATTTCCATATATGCATTGGTGTTTTGTTGAGTGTGTGTCTGTGTGAGGGTGTCAGATTCCCTGAACTGGAGTTACAGACAGTTGTAAGTTGCATGTGGGTGCTGGGAATTGAACCTGGGTCCTTTGGAAGAGCAGCCAGTGCTCTTAACCTCTGAGCCATCTCTCCAGCCCCTCAGTGATTATTTTTAACGATCACTTGCTTAGATAATCTTTAACTCACAGAAATATTTCCACAGGCTAGCTTTTTATCATAGTGATATGTTTAATACTAAATATTCTTCCTTCCAAATATTAAAACTAATCTTGGATTAGTCTGCCTGGAAGTAATGAAATATTTGGGCAAAGTAAAATTAAGATAAAAGCCAAGACAAGAGTTTTATCTGGAAAGTCTAGAATAAGTAATTGAGCCCATTCCTTAATTTTACTGGGAAAGTATTCTACAAATAACCCAAGGGACAGACACAAAATTTTCAAAATAAAGATAAGGATTATGGGATTTTATTTTTTTTTTTAAAAAAAAAGGCTAGTTCCTCAAGAAAGTTCAACTTATTTTGGTATGATTTTCTGCAGTCTATTAGGAAAAACAATTCAGGCATCTAAGTTGTCATTCAGGATATAATAAATGAAATAATTGTGGGCTGATTTTTAGTAATTACATTTTCATCCAAATAACACATGACTTTTATATGAGTTATATCCCTCCCATCCACTAGTAGGTAGTTTCAATTACCATACATACCTTAGGAGAGAATGCAGTTACACAAATGCTTGAGAATCATGGGCATTTGGGGTACATCAACAAATAAAATCCCTTTGGAGCCTGTGTTTCAATACAGGAATAAGCAGATCTCTAAAGACCTCTATAAATAAATATGTTTTAGGCTTTGCTTCTAGCCATTTTTTAGTAAAACTTTAGTTACAAAAGTAGACAGCTGGTTAGATTTGGCTATGGGGTTGTGGTTCTCCAACCATTGTCTAGTAAATTGGAATAGATTTAATAAGTAAAGTATGTTATGTCATGAAAATGCTTTAGGAAAGGGGGATATAACAAAGTAAGTAGGAAATATGGTGTGGTATAGATTAGCAGAAGGAACTTTATGAAAGTAAAGAAGAAATCAGCAAGGAAACTGAAAATCGAGTGATGTTCTGGAAAGAACCAACCATATGTTGGAAAGAAAATATGTCATGTTTAGCTGACACGCCAAGTAAATGTACTGAGATTAGACCACTGAATTTAGATATGTGGAGGTTGTTAGTGATACCCATCAATAGGTTCATGGGAAAAACTAAAGGAAAGTTGGACAGTTATTCTGAGTATTCAGAGGAAGCAAGGAAGTGGAGCAGTAGGACAGGAAGGATCGGAGGATTTTGGAACGCTGGTGCACACCTTTAGTTCCAGCACTGGGAAGGTGAGGCAGGTGAATCTTTATGAGTTCAAGGCCAGGTTAGGCTAGATAGTGAGGCACTATCTCAAAAATAATAAATAAATAAAAAGATTTTAGGGAGTTGGTGAAAAGATTCAGCAGATAAGAACATTTGCCCCAAGCCTGCCAATCTGAGTTCTGGTCCTTGGTGGTTGAAAGAGAACTGGTTTCTGAAGGTGTCCTCTGGCTTCCTCAAAGCACATACCTACATCCCACATATACACACATAGTAAAAAAAAAAATTTAAGTTTATTTTTAAGATAAATGGAATAATGTTTGTCTAATAGAAACAAGCCAAACCATCAAGTAGGGTTAATGATGAAAGAACCTAAGAAGAGAAAGAACTGCCAGTGAGTGCTGTGACCTTGAATGAGTGAAGAGAGACCTTGTGGTCTAGGAGTGGATGATTGGCTCCCAGGGTTCCAGTATTGACAATGGGAACACGTAGAGGATCTCCTGGCTTTAGTTTTCTGATTACAGATTTAGCAATCCTAAGAAATTCAAATGCTGAGCTTTTACTATGTACCCATGGTTTCTGGCTTCTAAGGCCACCCTCTATGGAATCTTTCCTTCACAATGCCATCTCTGTCTTTACAGTGGCTGGCTCTAGAAGTCAGTGGGGAGTTTTTATCGGGCCTTTATAAGATTTTTTTTCCTTTTATGTTTGTTTAATTATTCTATTGTGAAATTACTGTATTAATTTCTTTGTACAATATGGTAACTGCTTTTGTGTTTAACATTCTTTAGATTGTAGGCCCCAAGAAAGCATGTGATAGAACTTATACATTTCTAAGAATATGTCTAAAGTAACAGTTTGTATATAGAGATATTCAACAAATAAATTACTTAGCCAGCAAGTTACTTATACCTTTGGTTAAACACAGAGGTTCAGTTCTTTGGTTTTGTGGTGAACAAATCTATGACCTTTCCATTTCTCTGGAAAATTCTAGAGGTAAATTAAATTGGACTTACTGGCAAGTAAATACTTCCAAAATACTAAGACTATAATTGATAATTGGCACAAGTAGCTATTAGAATACCATAAACACTGACTCCATAATCATTTAGAAAAAGCTAGGGATCTGGAGAGATGGCTCAGAGGTTAAGAGCACTGGCTGCTCTTCCAGAGGTCCTGAGTTCAATTCCCAGCAACCACATGGTGGTTCACAACCATCTGTAATGAGACCTGGTGCCTTCCTCGCCAGCAGTACATTGTATGCTTAATAAATAAATAAATCTTTAAAAAAAAAGGAAGAAAAAAAAAAGCTAGGCTGGCCTGGTCTACAAGAGCTAGCTCCAGGACAGGCTCCAAAGCTACAGAGAAACCCTGTCTCAAAAAAAAAAAAAAAGAAAGAAAGAAAGAAAGAAAAGAAAAAGCTTATTAGAAAATAATTTTCTTTTTTTTAAATTTTATTTGTTTTTACATGTATGGATGTTTTGCCTGCCTATATGTCTGCCCACTATGTGTGTGCAGTGCCCACACATGGGATGGGGGTGTCAGATCCTCTAGGACTGGAGTAGTAGGTGGCTGTAAGCTACAACAAGGGTCCTGAACTGGCCATGTTTCATAGCTGGTAAACACTTAAATGCTTTCCTAAAATTCAGAGATATCGCTACAAGAATTGATGATTTTTTTTGACTCCTAGTGTCAAAGCTGTCTGTCCTTTTGGAATAAAATGATTTTGGACTCTGTCAAGAAACCTAAATGCAGGACTGGAGAGATGGCTACATGGGTAGGAGTGCTGACTACTCTTCTAGAAAATATTTTCAACTAAATACAGTATATTTAAAATCAAGTAAAATAAATAGACTTGTGTCGCTATAAGAAAATAGCCATGGGGCCATTAGATAAGAGCTCTTGCTGTCCTTACAGAGGACCTGGGTTCAGTTCCATCTCCTACATCAAGGCTCACAGCCATATGTAATGCAGGTGCTACACAGACATGCATGCAGGCAGGCAAAAAAAAAAAAAAAAAACAAACTTGTTTAAATATTTTTTTAAAAAGGAAAAAAATAGCATTACCTCTATATACTGTATCAAGACACAATGGCTAAAGTCCGAAGTGCAATTTTATTTTTTTTTTAAACCAGGTACTACAGGACTTAATGGTTCCTAGGAACTATTGGAAAAAAACCAAACTAAAATAGTCCTTTCACTCTGCAGTAGCCAGTGTGATTGAAGTAGAAGTGAGGATTGTTTTCCTCATCTGACGCAACTTTATTTATTGCTCTAATTACAGGATCAGTAATAAAGTTTGAACAGCCTAAATATTCATTCATGCAAATTATTGAGAGAGTCTAAACTACTCAAATTTGAATTTCTATTAGACCTATAACAGCTAGAGATTGGAGAAATGGCTCAGTAGCTAAGAGTATGATATTGCTTGCTCTTCTAGAGAACCCAAGCTCAGTTCCCAGCACGTGTAACTCCAGCTCCAGGGGATCCCATGCCTCTGATCTCCACAGGCATCCAGACATATGTGGCACACACACATTACTAAAAATAAAAATCTAAAAATATCTATTTAACAACTGTTTTTAGAACATCTAACTTCATACAAGTGTTTTAGAACTATAGAAAATATTGAAGAAGTCATCCTAAAAACCCACCTGTGTTGAAACTTTTCTCTCTTCATATTGTAGGTCCAGTCGTTTATGTCTTGGATCTTGCAGATAGACTGATCTCAAAAGCTTGCCCTTTTGCTGCAGCAGGAATAATGGTTGGATCTATCTATTGGACAGCTGTGACTTATGGAGCAGTGACAGTGATGCAGGTTCACCATCTACTCTATTCAGTGATACTACTTTTGATGTGAAGGTCTATTAAATATTTGCTAGGAGTTTTAAAATGTATTGTTTTAAATAAGTAATGATACTATCATGATTAAAGAATAACAAGTTAAATAAAAAGTAGACTAGAACCAACGAGATGGCTTAACGGGTAAAGATGCTTGCCATAAAGCCTAATATAATGAATGACCCAAGTTCAATTTCCCCAGCCCTCACATTGATAGAAAGGGAGAGAACTGGACTCCCAAAAGAAATTGTCCTTTGACCTCTACACATGAGCTGTAGCATGCCCCACCCCCATACATGCACACAGTAAAGTGTTGTACAGAGTGATCTAGGGAGAGTTCTCCTGTCCTTCATTTGCCTAGATCACCCCCACCTCCTCAGGTGCCCACTATGACTAATTTCATATTATAGCTGCAGTCTCTTTTCATAATGATTCTTGATCTTTTCATATAACTGTAGAGATCTGTCTAACATTCTGTATATAAAAATACAGCAGTTTATTAACCATTGTGTTTTTACTTTTAGGTAAGTATATCAAGTAAGGTGTACATAATGATAATATTATAGAGCAGTTATATAATTGTGTATGTAAATATGAATCAAATACAGAACTCCCTCAACATTTTTAATTCAGTAAAAGGGAAAGATCAATTGCTATTATAAGAAAAGTCTTGAGCTGGTACTTGAAAATTTTAATAATTTGGATTTATAGACTGGAAATATTAATATAAACAAGGAAACAAAAGTTACAAATATGTATTTTGTGTTAGCTGTTTAGAAATCACCTTTACATTTATTCCAAGAATGAGTGATTAGCTGGGACGGTAGATAGGTACTGTGTCATTTTAAGAGTATTGGGAGATCATCTTTTACCTACCTAAACATGCATATATGAATATGTAAGCAAGGCTTTCATGGTAAAAATCATATAAATGACTACATTGAAAGTCAGAAGTAAGATAATAGATATTGCTGCTGTTACTTAACATTGTTTTGGATATTCCATCACCCATACAATACTTCTATTTACTTGTTTTTATTTCTGTGCAGTGTCTAAACCAACAGTATTTATGTAGGGTTTTTTTTATTTTTTGGCGGGGGCAGACTAGTTTATGTCAAGTCCCAGAGTTAACATTAGCAAAACATGAATGGACAGGATATGGGGCTTGCTTCCAATTTGATTTGTAGCCCAAAGTTGGCCTTGAACTTCTGAACTTCCTGCCTCCACCCTACCAAGTGGTAGGATTATAGCCTTTTGCTACTCTAATGGGTAATGTTGATTGTGGATTTGACAGGAACTAGTCACAAAGAATACAAACCTCTGGGCACTCCTATGAGGGATTATCTATCTTAGGTTAATTGAGGTGGCATCACCTCAATGTGGCATCAACATTCCATGAGGTGGGGCTCTGGATTTTGTAAAGCGGAGAAAATGAACTGGGACTACCTTGTATTCAGCTGCATCAGATTCCTGTCAGCACTTCCCACTATGTTGACCTGTGTTCTCAGCCTGTCAGTTAGGGAACCCCTTAAATTGCTTTTGTTGGGTATTTAATCACAAGTAAAACTAGCTGATACTGCTACTGTGCCCAGTTTATATGGTGCATCAACTGAGCTACATGCATATCATGCCCTGAGATTTGCCATCTCCCAGGACCTTAACATTAACTTTTTAGTTTGCTCTGTGATCAGCTCTACAGAGTTCATATAAATCACCAGCCAGATCACTATTCCTTTCCAGTTAATTCTCATTACTTCTCCATATCTCCAGTCTGTAGTTAGGGAATTTGAATGAGATTCTTCATTTGCTTTTTGTGTTTGTTGGCTTTTTGTTTCAAGACAGGGTCTCACTGTGTAGTCCTGGCTGATCTTGAACTCATGAAGATATACATATCACTCCCAAGTGCTAAATTGTGTGTATATGTGGGGGGGGGGGTGTACTGTTTTGAAACAGGGTCTCTCTATTATGTAGCCTTATGTAGCCCTGGCTGTCCTAGAACTTGATTTGTAAACCAGGTTGGCCTTGAATTCAGAGATCCACCTGCCTTTGCCACCTTTTGTTTTTTGATTATTTTTTCTTTTTCTCTTTACTCTTTTAGGGGCCCACCACCCAGTTCCCAAATAATCACATGAAGGCTTATTCTTATAAATAAATGACCTGCCTAGCTTTGCTTATTTCTAATCAGCTTTTCTTAAATTATCCCATCTCTCTTTTGCCTCTGGACTTTTATCTTTCTATATACTTTTCTTTACTTCTTACATGGCTTGCTGTTTAGCTGGATGGCTGACCCCTGATTTTTTTTCCTCCTATTTATTTTCTATGCATGCCAGCCCAGCCTTTCCTTTCTCCTGCCTACCTATTGGCCATTCAACTCCTTATTAGACCTACCAATCAGGTGTTTTAGACAGGCAAAGTAACAGCTTCACAGAGTTAATTAAATGCAACATAAAAGAATGCAACACATCTTTGCATCATTAAACAAATGTTCCACAGCATCAACTATTGTAACACTTCTTCAACTAATATTCCACAACAACCTTCAAATCAGATGAAGAACTAGTGTTAAAGGAATACCACCACACCCGCCCAGCCATTTTTTATGTTTTTTTAAACACTGTCTTTTTACTTGAACTCCTGATCTTCCTACCATAGCCTCCCAAGTGCTGGGTGACAGCTTTATGGCACCACTTGACAAAACTCTAATAAAAAAATTAGTATGCAAAATAACTGGTTTATTAATGGCATTTTATGCATATATGTTATAATTTTGTTCTTTCTTAGCCCAGTTCCCCACTATCTTTTTCCCTACCCTCTTGCCTTTCTTACTGGATCTTTTCCCTCCAGAGAGGCCTCTCCTCATTTCCTGTCATGTGAATGTTCTTTTACCTCCTATCTCTTGAGAAGACCTTCTCACAGTCCCCTTTTAAGTTTTATAACAAAAGCATATGTAATATATACACACAAATTTGAATCTAGATTCTGAGTAGTCTAGAAGACACAGTTTTTCCTTACATGTCTGGCTTATTTTGCTTAATATAACAGTTGCCAGGTTTGTCCATTTTCATTGTCCATTGTTCATGTGTACTACATTTTCTTTGTCCATATATCTATCTGTTGGTAGACATAAGGGTCCTTTGGGTATACCACCAAGAATAGTGTAGTTTTTTGAGGAACTTCTGTGCTGACGTCAGCAGTGGCTGCACGAGTACATATTCTCACTAGTCAAATATAAGAATTCCTCTTTTCCACATCCTCCCTGGCCAACCTTTGTTTCTCAGAATTAGTCATCTGACTGGGATGGATCGGAATCTCAGAGCAGTTTTGATTTGTATCCTTGATGTCTAATGATGTTGAACATCTTTTCAAATATTAATATGTACTAATAATTTGTATTTCTTCCTTTGAGGAGTATATTCAGTTCAATAGCCTATTTGAGGATTAGAAAAATTCTACTCACGATAGCTTAAAAAAAACAAATATTTAAAAATAAACCTATCTTCAAGTTATTGAATAAGACATTAAGGTCTACAGAGATGACTCAGTGGTTAATAATGCTACTCTTTCAAAGGGTCTGGGTTAAAAGTCCTAGCACCCACTTGGTCCTCACAGCTGTCTATAACTCTAGTTCTAGGGAGCCCAACCCCCTTCTACAGGCACCAGGCATACATGTAGTGCACAGACACACGTTCAGGCAAATACCCATACACATAAAATTAAAAAATATATATGTATATTAGATGATGGAAAGACCTCTCATGCATGAACTGGTGGGATTAATATTACATAAATGTCTATTGCCAGGCAGTGGTGGTACTTGCCTTGATTTCCAGCACTGGGGAAGCAGAGGCAAGTGGATCTCTGAGTTCGAGGTCAGCATGGTCTACCAGAGTAAGTTTCAGGACAATGAGGGCTACACAGAGATGCCCTGTCTCCAAAAACAAGCAAACAAACAAGTCTGTCTTATCAAAATCAAACTCGATATTCAACATAGTGTGCATCAGTGAGTTCACAGAACTAGAAAAGGCAATCCTAAAATTTATAAACACTAAAAGACCCTCAATAGCCAAAGCAATGCTAAGCAAAAAGAGCAATGCTGAATATATCACTATATCTGGTTTCAGTCAGATGTAGTGGTCCTTACCTCTATTCCCAGCATTCTGTGAGTTCCAGGCCAGCAAGGGTTATGTAAGATCCTATCTTAAACATGCATACACAAAACACACACACACACACCAAAAAAAAAAAAGACTGATCTCAGATTTAACTACAGAACCGTAGTAACAATACTATGACAATGGCACAAAAACAGGTACGTAGACCAATGGAATAGACTATAATTAATACAGCCATAGCCACCTAATTTTCAACAGTAGTGTCAAAAACATGCATTAGTTTGGATGTGATGTCCAGTGTCTGTAACTGTTTGAGAAGAGGCAGGAAGATCAGGAGTTTAAGGTCAGCCTCAACTACATAGTGAGTTTGAGACAACTAGCTTGGGTTATATGTGAGACCCTGTCTCAATACATACATTGAGGAGAAAAACCATGTTTTTCAGTAAATACCTCTCCTTCATGTCTGTCTTGTTCTCTGTGTAAACAGGATATTCACTTGAAGGAGAATGAAAATCCATTCTGTACAAAAACCAATTCAGAGTAGATCAAATACCTTAGAAAAACATAGGTAAAACTCTTAGAGGCAAAGACAAGAATTTTTCCTGAAGGACTCTAGCAGCAGGAATTGACAAACAATTACATTAAATTAAAACATTTCTGACAGCAGAGGAAACAGTGACCACAGTAAAGGTAGCCTTCAGTATTATGAGTCTTTCTCTGTCTTCCTAGCCAACTCTCAAATAACGTAACGGAAACTTCATATGAAAGCTCTGCCTATAGCTCAGTCTAGATCCTAACTAATTCTTTTTGGATGTTCGAGACAGAGTATCTCTGTAGACTGAACTGGCCTCAAACTCACAGAGATCCGCCTGCCTCTGCCTCCCAAGTGCTGGGATTAAAGGCGTGCGCCACCACTACTTAGCTCCTAACTAGTTCTTATACTTAAATTAACCCATTTCTATTCATCTACATGCTGCCATGTCGCTTGTGGCTGTTACCTCTCCACCTGCATATTTGTCTTGTTCTCTGTCTCCTGGCATCTCTCCTACATGCCTAGATCCCTCTTTCTACTTCCTCTCTCTGCCCAGAAGTGCTGCCTATACCTCCTGCCAGCTACTGGCTGTTTATTAAGCCATCCACAAGAATAAATCTTCACACAGTGTACAAATAGCCCATAATACTCAGAATGAGAAAAAATAGTTGCTACCTGTACATTAGACAGGATACTCATATCCAGAATATATAAAGAACTGTAAAAAAAAAATCCAATTTCATTTGCATTTTTAGATTTTAAAAAATTTTTGTTTGTTTGTATATGCATTGTGTATAGGCCAATTCTGTGTGGAGGTCAGAGAACAACTCTTGGAAGTCAGTTCTTCTGTAACCTTGTGGGATCCTGTGATCAAGATCAGGTCACTTAGGCCTCTACTTCTACCCACTAAGCATCTCCCCATCCTCCATGTGCATTTTTTATTGAAAAGACAGCATGTTATTAACTTCCCCAGCACTACAATAAATAACTTAAGCATTGATGCATTTAAACCCTAAAATCAATGTTGTGCCATAGATAAGCTTATTCCTAGTTTACTGATTGATGTGTCTTATTTCAGATAGCAAAAGAACATTAGGCCCTGCCTCTAGTGTAAAATAACCTCCATAAACATTGAAATGTTTTTCTTTCTTTTTTTTTTTTCTTTTCTTCTTGTTTGAGGCAAGATCTTTTGAATTTCTAAGTACCTAGTAGCTAGGAATTAACAGGCAGTGTGCATTGCACTTAAGCCTTACATGAGCAAAGCACTGTGGCCACTGAACCACAGCCTTGGCTGCTGGCTGTGTATTCAGGCTGTCCTTTGAAGGCTGTTCCCACTCTTTGCTTTGATAGTACTTAACCTCAAAGGAAGCACAGGACACAAACATCTTCTAGATGACAAATACCATCTAAAATTATCCCAGTCCCAGAGCCCACTGACAAATTTGAGTAAGGGAAATGAAAGTAAATGATAGAAGACCCACCCTGCATTCTTTTGCACAACTGCCCCCCCCCAAAAAATGATACTTTACAGTGTAGGTTTTTTTTTGGGGGGGGGTATAGAATTCTCAGTTCTTGAATTTTGTCTACTAAGCCATGAATTCATAGAGAATGGAGTCCAGCATCTCAGGCTCCTTCCCATTAGTTCTCACCAAATGTGCTTTCCTGGGTTGAGCAGGTTGGTATTGAGCTGAACCAGGTGCCTTTTTCTTTCTGATTGTTTTCCTTCACCTGTTTCAGGAAGGTGTCTCAGCTCTTAGAGTACTTAACTTACTCAATGCACACAATTCTCTTGGCAAGAATCTTTTCCTTAACTTGCTTGTTTACAGTGATGCCCTTTGCATGCTAACTGATATTGTAAACTTCCAGTTTTGCCATGGTAACGCTTAATGGGGCATTTCTCCTTGGTATCTTCCTGTAGATTTGAATGTTATGTGGCCAGAAGAACACTTTCATGTTTCCAAAACAGTCTAGAGAACATACAGCGGGTGCCTTTCGTCTTTCCCTTTGTGTTTGTCATTTGGCCAGTTACTGAAAAAATGGTTGCTGCACTAAAAAGCAGTGTGTGCTTTTAATTCCAGCACTTTGGAGGCAGGAGCAAGTGGATCTCTTTGAATTTGAGGCCAACGTGGTCTACATAATGGGTTCCAGGCCAGCCAAAGCTATACAGTGAGACTATGTCTCAAAAAAATAAATAACAGCAAATCTTGGATGTATCTTCACAACACTGTTGAGATATAATTAATGCAATCAGCCATTTTTGTAAAGTTATTTTATTCCAATGTAAAATAGAATAGCTTGGCTATACTTGGCTGTATACTCTTCTTGGCTAGATCATGATGATTTGATTTTGAGACAGGGTCTCACTGTGTAATCCTGGCTAACATAGAGCTATGTAGTCCCACCTACTTTCCGTCTGAAAGTCACAGAGATTTGCTTTCCTCTGTGTTCTGAGTACTAGGATTAAAGGTGTGCACTACCACACTCAACTATGGGTGATCTTTCTTTTTTTATTTTATTTTTTGTGTGTGTGTGGTTTTTCGAGACAGGGTTTCTTTGTATCTTTGGAGCCTGTCCAGGAACTAGCTCTTGTACACCAGGCTGGCCTCGAACTCACAGAGATCTGCCTGCCTCTGCCTCCCAAGTGCTGGGATTAAAGGCATGTGCCACCACCGCCTGGCTTATTTTTATTTTTAATTTTTATGTTTGAGATTTATTTTTTATACTTATATATGTGAGCCTATTGGAGTGTATCTACACCACTTGGGTGGAGTTCCCAGAAGCCAGAACAGCTCATCAGATCTCTCGAACTGGAGTTACAAGTGGTTGTAAGCTGCCATATGGGAGCTGGGAATCGAACCTAGGTTCTTTGCAAGAGCAGCAAGTGTTCTTAACCACTGAGCCATCCAGTATTATTTCTTATAAACAAATCAAGGCTAAAGGCTTTCAGACCTTTTTTTTTTTTTTTAGCTTTTGTTTCTGTTTTTTTGAAATTAAGTATTTCTTACAAAATGAACTGTATATGTGCCACTGTGCCCTGGCGCCTTTAATCCCAGCACTCAGGAGGCAGAACCAGGCAGATCCCTGAGGTAGAGACCAGCCTTGTCTATAGAAGAGTTCCAGGACAGCCAGTATTACACACAGAAACACATGTCTCAAAAAAACACAAACAAAAGCATACCACTGTTTTAGACAAGAAAATAACTGTAGCAAATGCTGTCTGCTTTACAGGTCGTAGGCCATAAAGAAGGGCTGGATGTCATGGAGCGAGCTGACCCTTTATTCCTTTTGATTGGACTCCCTACTATTCCTGTCATGCTGATACTGGGCAAAATGATCCGCTGGGAGGACTATGTGCTTAGACTATGGCGCAAATATTCAAATAAACTACAAATTCTGAACAGTATATTTCCAGGTAAGGTCCTGAATTGTGCTGTGTAAATAAAGCACGTGTTTAATTGACCTTTAGAAGAACCATCACATGGCCTTGTTGTTGTTGTTTTTTGGAGAGGTTAATGTTTAAAGCTATTTATTTTTAACTATTCCTGAGGTTTAGTACTAACATGATGCTTCCCTCTCCTTCTAGGGATTGGTTGTCCTGTTCCTCGAATTCCAGCAGAAGCTAATCCTTTAGCTGATCATGTCTCTGCTACTCGAATTTTGTGTGGAGCCCTTGTCTTTCCTACTATTGCGACGATAGTTGGTAAACTGATGTTCAGTAGTGTTAACTCAAATTTACAAAGGACAATCTTGGTAAGATGGATTTAATATTACTTGTCTCAAGCACTATACAGAAGAGAGTGAACTGTATTTGTTTTTAAAGGGGGAGAGAAGTTCTATAGGGGCTCTGTGTAGTTCCCCTGCTGTTATTAACCCCGCTGTCACCTTAGCTTGCAGGAAATAAAAAGGGGGGTTTTGCTGCTGCCAATCTGGCCTTTGGATCCTTTCTATAGATCACCTTCTCTTCTGGAATATGATCTGGGCTCAGTCCCCAGTACCAGCATCATAAATAAACACGATATGAAACTGGCTCATGCTGTTTCCTGCCATCCCACTTGCCCTCCTTGGTCACAGTCTGTATGGTACTCTGCCAATCTCCTTTCTATCAGATGAATGTAGAATTCCGTGGGAAGAAAGCAGCTCGAGTGATGTGGCTGGAGGAAGCTCTTCCTCTGCCGCTTGAAGTGTCGGTTTCTTGCCTAATCTTCAGCCCTCTCAGAAAAGAATGTTTTCCTTGCAGTTATCAGGATTCATTTGGCGACAAAGCCTGTGTCTTTTGTGATCTTTGTAAAGTTCTTTTTCTTGTTTCTCTAAGCCTGCATTACAAAAAAAAAAATAATTTCCCTTTTTATTTTAGGGTGGAATTGCTTTTGTTGCCATAAAAGGAGCATTTAAGGTTTACTTCAAACAGCAGCAATATTTACGTCAGGCACACCGCAAAATCCTAAATTATCCAGAGCAAGAAGAAGCATAAAACTGACTTCTGGTTGTTCTGAGACCTCTCATCCTGATGAGCCTGTTGTGTTGTTCTGATTCCATCATTAATGCACTAGTGGAGACTGGTGATAAGTACTGCTCCTATATTTTTAAGGAATATAATAAAGCACGCAAAGCAGGAGATCCTTTCAGTAATCACAGAACCTAAGGATACGATTCAACTTGGTTATTTATATGTACTGCTTTGACGGCCGTCGACTAAACCATTATCTTAGCATGGTAAACCTGGGTTTGTTCATATTTTTCCAGACAAAAATGTAAAGATAAAACTGTATAAATATTAAAAATGGACATGCTGTTTTATTCTGATGCCTCTTTTGTATATACTCATGTTCAGTGTTTTCTTAGAAACAGCAACTCAATGAAGGTCCTGTGAGGACTTTCCTCACTGGCATAATCTGATTACATGCCAAACAGGAGCCTGTGCTAATATGAGGAAATGTAAATTAGTTCTGAATAAATAACAAACCAAAAAACTATACGTGAGCATTGAAATGATCATCTGAACAACAGAGATTCTGTTGCCTTTACTTAACCCGTCAGAGATTCTGTTGCCTTTTCCTTAACCCGTGTGACATCTCAGATATATAGGGTCAGTTTCCAGGGCTTCCAGATCACTTTTTCACTATTAAACTTTATTTATGCAATGTTGACATCTCATAGTTCATAATGTAATTTTGACCCATGTATTCGTTGTTGTCGTGTTTATCTGTGTGTGTCTGTGCGTATCTATCTGGGGGGTTGTTTAGAAAAGGTGGGCGGGAGGGTGGAGAGGGAGGGACAGGAAAAAGGAGGTAGAAGGCCTTGTGTCACTCAGTGTTTTCAAATCCTGTATTTCTAGGACTTGGAGCTGCCAGTTAGTAATTTAAATAGAATAACTTGGGAAAAATAATAAAATTGCTCTTTTTTTCATTGATTCGGTTATTTAGATATTTTTTAATTGCCTCCCATTTACTCAGCCACTGCAGGGTGCTGTGGGAAACAGTGGTGAACAAGATAAACTTGGTCCCAGCTCTGACAGTTTGCAGTCTGTTAGAACAAGCAGTAAGTGAACCAAAGTGTGGTCTTGAGCACTTTGTGAATCTCAGTCAGTGAGGTAATTATGAGAACAAGTCTTTAATGAGTATCTAGGTATTTGGTTTGGCTATATCCATTTATAAGATAACCAATACTGATGTTTTTAGGATGTTTTGTTTTTGAGTCAGGGTCTCTCACATAGGATAGCCTCAAACTTCCTGTATCTGAAGATGACCTTGAACTCTGCTCCTCCCAATTACAGGCTGCTGTTTTTTATGCAGTGCTGAGGATTGAACCCAGGGCCTTCTGCATGCTAGGTAAACACTACAATTGAGCTACATCACCATCCCTCTTTCAGATCCTGATTGTCATATTAAGGGGGCTAGCTCCTTAATAGTCTTTGTTTAACTAGTTATATATTTGTTGTTCAAAAGCAGTTACTTAGGTCATGTTTAATAGTGACCATTCTACTGTTCAGCGATCTGAATGTTCTTTTGATTAAAACAAAAATTTTAAAGCTTAAAAAACGCTGTTCACAGTGTGTGGTGCATGATAATAAATGGTCCCCTACTGAGAAATGGGTACTTTAGGAGTGTAACAAATATAGATTGAGCTGGATTAGATTGTAAATAAAACATACTTTGAGTAAAGACTGATCTTTCTAAAGGTTGAACTCAGTTTTGAGTTTTATGGTATCTATGTGAATGACTGTTGAACATCGAGTTGTAATTATCTAGGATATAAGGGACAATTTGACTGAATTAACCTAACATGGCTGTTGTTCTAAAGAGAAAATATGAACTCTGATTATATATAAAAATAACTTAGGTATCTAGCTGTAATTATGAAATATATTGACTTTTATAATTCCCAGTGTGAAAAGGCAAAGAATGACCCTGATAATTTTGTTAAATTGAACAGCGCTTACAGTTATGCAAGCACTCAGTTCCCTACGTACTACTTTAATGTCCAAGATAGGTTTGATTGGCATCAAGATCCATGAAGGCCAAGGAAACAGCTCTAATCCCTTGGGGGCAGGAGGTAGAACTTTGTAGAGTTATGGGGAAGGAACCACAAGTGCCTGCAGAAAGGAGCGAATGCTAGCCTTGCAATTGAATAGTTTCAGATCTAAAGAGCCTTATTCCAAGAAAATAACCCATGCCAGTCCTGCCCGGATGGTGACCACCCATCCATGAAGCAAAAACATGGGCAGAATTAAAGCTGGGTAGGCAGCTTTAAGAGCCTAGTTCAAGTTTTAATAACTGTAATGTATAACCGTGGCAAAGTGGCTGCTTGGCCACAGTTATCTTCATCTCTAAAATGCAAGTCACACTTAGACAATTTCTAGGATTAGCTGAGAAAGAACAGAGGTACTTTAGGCCTCAATAGTTCCTAAACAGGTGGTCTGCTCTCTAGAACAGGACAGTAATAAAGAAACAGAACAGTAGAGAAGAGAGACAGTAGAGACTTTGGGAATATGTGAGTATACTGTTCTCTAATTTATTTTCATATTGTTTTTGTTATTTCTAGAAATGTCAATGTTTTAAACCTCTTTTTATAAAATTCAATGATTAGTAAAATTCTATTGTAGAAGTTAACTCCATCTAAGTGGCTGAAAATATTGTTCATTACGTACTTAACAAATGATTGAAAAATATATAATCAAATTTAGTGACTTTATTAGTCACTGCCTTGCTAATTCTGCTGTAATTTTTTTAAATATCTTGTTTTTAATATAGAAAACTCAATACTGGCTGGATTAGGTTGAATAAAGAATTTTTATGCTCTTTAGGTGTACTTTGTCTGTTGAACCAACCCTAAAATTAATTCCGTACCTACATAACATACCTATGTTTTTTTGAAGTTAATTACCAAAATCTTTGTGAGACTATAAAAGTAATCTAAATAATCTTAAATTTTGGTTTTTTTTAGTATTAAATTTTGGGGAGTGGGGGTGGGATACAGGTTTTTTCTGTGAAACAGTCCTGACTGTCCTGGAATTCAATTTATAGAACAAGCTGGCCTCAAGCTCACTGAGTTCTATCTGCCTCTGCTCCCCAAGTGCCAGGAAAAAAGGCCTGCACCACCACCACCTCCAGTAGTTATATTTTTTTTTTCCGAGGCAGGGTTTCACTGTAGCTTTGGGCCTGTCCTGTAACTAGCTCATAATTAAATGTATCTCTGTGTGGGTATGTACACATTGAGTGCAAAGTCCATAGCGTCCAGAAAAGGGCACCAGATCCCTGTGAATCTGAAGTTACAGATGAGAACCACCAAATGTGGGTGCTGAGAACTGAACCTGGATCCTCTGCAAGAGTAGTTAAGACTTTTAAGCCCTGAAACATCTCTCTAGCCCCCTTTTAATAAAGTTTGTTTTATAATATTTTTTTTCACCGTGTGTGTGTGTGTGTGAGAGAGAGAGAGAGAGAGAGAGAGAGAGAGAGAGAGAGAGAGAGAACAACTTGTGAGTCAGTTGCTGTCAAGTTTTAAACTAGCTTGTTTGCCCAGTGCAGGAAGTTGTAGTTCAAGCCTGGCTCCGCAAACCCGGTTGTGACACATGCCTGTAATCCCAGCATTCAGATACAAGTCAGTTCAAGGTTATGCTTGGCTACATAACCAGTTTGTGGCCAACTTAGGCTATGTAATACCCTAACTAAAAATAAATGATTTTATAATTAAGATTACCTAATTTCAAAATATATTCTAATGATGTATCCCTTCCTGTCACCCTTCGAGCCCCCTGGGACTTAGTAAATGACACTGCTTCCCCTGAAATACTAGGAACTTTAAATTTTTTGTTTGGGATTTTTGAAAGTTTCATGTAGCCCAGACTGGCACCAAACTTGCTGTTCATCTGAGGCTGACCTTGAGTCTCCATGCCCAAAGACTGAAATTATAGGAATGTGCCACCAAAGCCAGCTTGAAATACTAGGACAAAGTATTTCTGATGTAGGGGCTAGAAGGAAGGCTCTGTGATTAAGAGTACTTGTTCTTGCGGAGGGCATAATTCCATTCCCAACACCCACCTGGTAGTTCACACTGTAACTTCAGTTCTGGGGGTGGAGGGTTCTGATGCCCTTTTCTGGCCTCGAGGTACCAGGCATGCATGTGCTACACAGACATACAGGTAGAGAAAATACTCATACACATAAAAATAAGTTTTAAAAACAAAATTTTAAAACGTTTCTGATGTAGGTTAGAATATTAACATTTTGTCCATGTCTGATACACAGACTACTTGGAGAAGCCGTTGGGTGGCTTTGGATGAATGTTCTATCTGATAGATGTGGAGTGAGTTCCTTCCTAGACCCTCAGTTTCTTCGTGGATGAAATGAGAACTGTAGAGCCTGTTTATCGCCTGGGTTAAGTGATGTGACTTTCTATGACAAACATTTGGTATACAGGAGAATCAGTACAAATAGGGACATAGTGAAAATTTGTCCATAAGCTCTCCTTGGGCACCACTGCCTGCCTGCCTTCCTGAACACAGGACGGGAGGGCTTACATCTGATACTTACTGAAACCTTATGAACCAGCAATCGGCTAGACTATGATTCTGTTCAAACCCATGAAGTTTTTAAGTATGACTATCAAAGGCACTCAAAACTTACTGACCACCTGCATGCCCCAGGTACAGGCTTGGGTAAAATGGTGGATAGCCTGCTTTGAGAGAGTTAGAGGCATAATGCATCCTTTTTGCTTTTGCTTTTTTTTTTTTTTAAGTTTTGTTTACTACCTAATTCTAACACTAGATTTTCTACTTCTGGAAAGGGGTACATAAACATCGTGTGAAACTTGGAAAAAGCATTGTTTTTACTATGAAAGTGTCCCTTAGTGCTAATCTCTGTGGGGGGGAGGGATCACTTTATGTGGAGGCCAGAGGTCTTTGTGGAGAAGTCAGCAGTCAACATGTGTTTTCTTCAATTGCTTCTCCACTTCACTGTTTTGAGACAGAGTCTCTCACTTAGTCGGTTGGCTGGACTGGCTGGTCAGAAAGCCCTAGACTCACTGGGGTTACAACCACACATACCTGGCTTTGCGTGGGCGCAGGGGGTGTGAACTCTGCTCACGCGTGCATCCACAGCGAGCGCTTTGCCCCCTGCACTTCCTCCTCAGTGCCCTTGCTTCCTCTGGTGTCCTGGTTTCTTTCCGTTAACCTTTAGCTACTTTTTCTTGGGTGGAGAGGGTAGGTTTTAGGGACCAAAACCAGGACCTCGTACATTTTCACAAGTGCTGTCCCATTGAGTTACATCCGCAGGACTAAAGCAGCTGTTTGGGGTTTATTTCTTAGAGAAAGTCTCACTCTATAGCCTTCACTGGCCTCCAGCTCTCAGTCCTGCCTCAACTTCCTAAGTACAGCCATAATGGGCATGACCACTATCCTTGGCTTCAAAGCAAAAAGAGTTTTTTGGTTTTTTTTTGGGGGGGGGGGGATGTTTTTGAGACAAGGTCTCAGTATGTAGCCTCACTAACCTAAAACTCACTATGTAGACCAGGCTTGTCTTGAACTCAAAGATCTGTCTCTACCTCCCGAGTGCTGGGATTAAAGGTGTGGGCCACCATGCCCCGCTAATTTTTTATTTATTTTATTTTATGTATATGGATGTTTTACCTGTATATATATGTGTGTGTGTGTGTTCTCCATGCTTGCCTGATGCCTGCAAAGACCAGAAGAGGGCATCAGATACCATGGAACTGCAGTTACCAATAGTTGTGAGCCTCCATGTGGGTGCTGGGAGTAGAACTCTGGTCCTCTGGAAGAATTCTCTTAACCCTGCAGCAGTTTTGTTTGTTTTTTGACAATATAAAGCCACTTTGTATCTCATAGTTGTGAAAGACACATTTATCAGCATGCCTATTAATGAGCTTTGCCCTGGTCCCTTCAAAATGCTGATATTTAACACTGGAAGCACGAGGAAGGGCAAACCACCTGTCCACTAGCTCACTTGGACACTTTGGATGAATGCTCCCTAAGCACTGTCAGCCATCTTACCGCCCTTGTTCAGCCATTCAGAAATAAACCGAATCTGCGCGGTTGCTCACAGACCGTCAGCATCTGGGAAATGCTGTTGTGATTAGGCTTGGTGCTTAACCAGTCACTGTCTCCCAGGAGAGATTTGGACATGGGTAGAAGGCTCACAGCTGTGCCACGTTCATTTCAGTAAGCTGTTTACACTCGTGACAGGATTGACGAAACCATAGCAGTCGGGGCCTGTTTCACCCTCTGAAAACCGCCTCAAAACCTCTAGACCAATACCTGTCCCTCAGCAGGGTCATGAGCCTTGCCAAATAAAAAGCACTACCCAATTCAAAAGTACTGCTACATCACAGGAAAAGCCTAAAGTGCATGGGTATTTCATTTGTCTCCACCAGTGGCAAAATGCTAACGACTTTACACCTAGTGTGTATATTTTCAGATTTCCAGAAGCCCACATTAGGATCCTCAGTGTGACCTCTTCCAAATGCCACAAATAAAGTACTTCAAAAATACTACATTTTTCTTATATGTTTTAAGTATTATTTTTATGTATGTGTGCCTGCTCTCTATATGTCTACCATGTTAGTGCAAGTATCTGTGGAAACCAGAAAAGCTCATTGGATCCTTGATTTATGAAAAAAATGGTACTGAACAAAAATGTAATATATATTATATAATATATATATAAATATATATATTACAGTTATTAAGCAAGAGTTATAGTTACAATATTCATTTACATTTGGCAAGTTAAGGAAAATATCCTATCTTTGTGAGTCTAAAGTTATATATCTAGTTTATCGTTTATCTTAAGTAAGGAAAACTATAATAACAATCTAGTCTTCATCAAAGACCCAGAAAGGATATATTACCTAAGTAAATGGGAAGTGCATTGTAAACAACTTCCAAAGTTCTATAAATGACAGAGACATCTTGCTGCCTGGAACCAAAAAATAAATGAAATGAAAACTAACCTGCTTCTCTTCCAGAGGACTGGATTTGATTCCCAGCACCCACACACTTTCCTCATCACTGTCTATACATCCAGTTCCAGGATGTCTGATGCCCTCGTCTAACCTCTGTGGGCACCTGGGACTGAACGTGGTACAAGACAAACATACAAACAAAACACCTATCCACATAAAGCATTGTTTTTATTAGCACTATTTTTGTGTGTGGGGGGGGGGTGTTTTGCCTGCTTGTATATCTGT